GTATGATATACGCGCAAGTACAAAATATATATAAAATATATGTAGATAAAGTAGGGGGAGAGAAATAACAGAATCAATGCTCTCCGGAGCTGGCGCTCCGACTGGATCAATGCTCTCCCCTGGTGCCCTCCGACGCCTAGGTGGGCGTGTCTCTCCAGCCTGACCTCCCTGGTCTGAAGTCCCATGTCCAGCAACACTGGGACCGGCTCTCGCGTCATCCGCTGCTGCACGAGTATGGTGTCGCGAAGAAGATGATGGCTGCATACAAGCGATTCGTCCCAGCACTCCAAATATTTTCTGTAACATTGTGTGCTGTTTCCTGTGCGAATCCACCAACCATGCGATGCGGTCAGTGTCTGAAGCGTCTTCTGCAAGCGGTAGAAGATCGTATTCCGTACTGTACTCCGGTATATCGGGCTCATCTACAGGATCTGCGTGAGACGGTTGTTGAGGATGATCTACCTGCTCCCGTGCAGCTCTCCGGGATCTTGAAGCGCGAGGTTGACCGGTAACCATGAACTGAGGGTCCAACTCGAACTCCAAGTTCTTCCTTGACACGGGAGGTGTGAAAGCCGGAAGAGGTAGTCTGCATCGGTGAGGAACTTCTGCTCTGTCATAGAACATGTACTCATAATCTCCCTTAAGAATGTGAGCGTTCATGAAGTATCTCGCATTGAACGTGTCAATCTCCCTGATGCACTCCGTCCCACGCAAATCAATGTTATGATATTGGAAGATCGGTGTTAACAGACTGCCAATAATCTCAACCTTCTTTTTACCGCTTGTGTTCAAACCTCGTTGCTTCTTCTTCACAAGCATTTCAGCAAACACTGCCCCTAAGTTAGTGCGCAATCTCAATGGAGCTTCTCGGTGGTAAGTCGCTCGAACGGAATCTGGAAGCCCATTGTCTATCAAAGACATCTCGTCGACCCTTAGAGCACCCGTCTCTTCCTTCCCTGAAAATGATTGACCAATTATCTTTGCGACAACCCGAATCACAGGATTCCGAATTAAGCTAAGCTTAGCGTCACGAGAGTGAGCTGTAGTGAATGGTCCTGTTGCAATCAAATTCCACAGAACATCAGCCTCTCCAAAATAAGGAAACCTGCATAGCTCCCATGAACTCTCAAATCCATATATATCGCACAGGGTTGGTATGGATAACTCGTAGTGAACACCCCTGCATATGTATGAAAGAGTCCCCTCCGAAGCTTCATGGATGGCGATATCCTTGTACCGGACTTCAACCGATGCAAGGAATTGGCGGACCAGCTCAGGATACAGAGGATAGGAATTGTAAGCCACCGTTCCAAGTCCCATCTTTGTCAGCATTGCTCTGACATCTTCTGCAATTCCCATTCTCCCCAATGTTGCTTCGCACACAAATTTGGTAGGTGCTATTGTCACTTGAAGCAAACCATTGTAGAAAATTCGGTTGACTCGGTCCCAAGCATGTCCAGGCTGACGCTTATCAAATCCTGTCATGATTTGAACAGCGGCCATTGATGTATATGGAATTTCCTCAACCATCGAATCATCAAGGAAGGGTGTCTTTTCAGCACGAGGCCATGGATGAGTTGTGTGTTCGTGCTCTGTCTCATCAACAGCGGCAGAAGCGGAAGCTGCCGCTTTTTCTTTTGCGGTACGAGAAAGCCGAGTGGGTTGAGGGTTCCGAGCAGGTGGAGGTTGGCGAGAGGGTTGAGGAATTGCTTCATCATCGCTTGACGCGCTGTTGGAAGCTCTTGCGTGTGGATGTCCTTTCGCTGGTACACCTCTTCTTGTCATTTCCTACAAATTCAAACAAAAATCCATATTTATCGAAATTTTTCGAAGGAATACACATTGTTGATTTTGCAAAACCCAAAGAATAGACATCACTTCTAGCAATTATATCCAATTGATAAGCATCATCAGCAACAATTTTAACACCAATTCAAACAATTCAAACAAGTTTCGTTTACTAAATCCCCCTAAATTGGGCAAATTCTCAACCTAAAAATTCAACCATTGAAATGGACGGAATTAAGGCATGGGATTTGTCGAAAATCACTCTAAGAGTGCATATAAACATGGGATTAACCAATTGTAGGAAATCAAACACGAAATTGGCCTTTTTCCTCAAGAACATCGAACTTGAAATTTGTGTTTAGAGACACATACCTTTGTAGATCGATCAAGAGAGTGCTAGAATTAGTTAGAGGAGGAAATTTCGTGTGAGATAGACCCAAAAATCGTTCAATTTGGTGAAGAATTGAAGAAGTTATGGTTTGACTCAAATTTTTGCTCAAGAACACCCAAAAATCGCGAAGGAGGAGAGGAGAAGATTTTTGTTTTTGTCGATTTTGATCATGTTTATCAGTGGATTTTCTTTAAAAACTGTGTAAATTCGGTTTGATTTTAGTGAATTTAAACCGAATAAACCGAGTAAACCGAATTGGAAAACTTACCTGTCCCCTGGATCGATCGATCCAAACCTTTAGTAAGTGGATCGGTCGATCCATTCTTTGTTCGATCGATCCTCAGGTCCCGCGGAATTATTGATTTCTGGAAGGATCGATCGATCCGATAGTGGATCGATCGATCCATTCCCCCTTTTTTTTTTTTTCACAAATAAACCGC